AGAACCAACTATGTAGCACCTATATCGGCAATTCAAGTATTGTATACGTCATTAGTCCGATCATTTATAGAACTACCCTTAATAACGAACTTGCAAAAGGCGATCTAACCAGTTTTGAATATGCTTGATTTGAGAGTGTAAGAAATTCTTTCAATCAAGACCCCAGATAGGAGTAAGTACTGAGAGGATGCCAATATTTGGAACTTCAACCCAGATTTGATGTTTTTGTTATTTTGTTTTGTCTTCTGCATCCGACCCCAAGTTGGGCACATATATAAGAATGAGATTTGAAGTCTATCAATAGGGCACAACAAAATGTACATTATTTCTTTCTAAATTCTTTACAACATTGCCCACCAAACTATTTTATAACAGTATGAGATTTCTAAACAGCATACCAATATGTACATTTAAAACAAATAGACACATATCGCATTCGCATAAATGACTTTCACAACACACAAATTCATTAAGAACATAATAATAGGAAAGAAAGACTATGGATGTAGTCTACATCAACATTAGTAATAGGAAGAAGACCATCCAAGAGCCTAGCAATCTTTATTGTGACAGAGAGAGCTTCCAACAAGGAAAGGTGTAGAGCGGGCAAAGGAGTCGATATCACCGAGCGCAAAAAGAGAGAGAAGTCAGTTGTCGGCCTAGGGAATGATTAGCTATCTCCTTAGTTGAATCAAGCACAGACTGAAGAATTTCTTCGCCAAGATAAAGTTGCTTATCTATGAGATTAGGTAAGTGTTAGAAGCCTTCTCGGGATAGAGCATGAATGCTTTTTTTCATTCAGAAGTATGCTTTGTCGGGACAGTAATTGAGAAAGTTGGTCAACTAGTCGACTGCTACAGGTCTAAGAAGAAAAGAAGTTAAGGCCTGATGTATGAAAATGTAAGGTCAGCCAATAGGCAAAGACTTATTTATGAGTCCAGTCCAGGGTCAATGGAATATGAAAAGTAAATGGGTTCTACTAACGAGGTAGAATCATCTTAATAGAGATGACCACTCTCTATATAGTCAATAGGATCAATTAGAACAAGTCAGACGATAATATTCCGCAAAATGAAATATCAAAACAAAGAAATTTCACGATCGAAATACCAGAATGGTCTACAAATCCAAGTCTTAGGTAATCTTAAGTTTAAGTATTAAGTATTTGAAGGATTAAGTAACTCTAAGTAAAAGAATCTTTTTTTATTGAAAAACTGGGACTTCCTAGTTTTTATGAACTAATTCACCTATTTTACTGGATGGAATTTCAATAAATTAGAAATAAAAAAAGATAGAAATATTGCAAATAAAGCCATTGCAACTCCCATAAGTGTAGTCCCCCCCCCCCTCCTTGGAGCTACTTTTTCATATTCTGAATTCAATTGTTTCCTCCCTAACTAAGTTCATCTTGGCCCAGATCTAGAACTATTCTCAACGGTTTTTGTAGCCATAAATTCTATTTCATCATGGGTTGAAATATGTTGACTTTGTATGCCATTACGCTGTAGTTGTTATATATATATATATATATATATATATGAATCATATCTCCGCTAGCGCCCTTACTCCTTTGTCTTGGGATTGTCCCAAAAAACTAGCACCTTTTCTTTGTTGCCTACGTCTAGAATAGTTGAGCACGATCGGAAGAGCGAAGCGTGATGAGAATTCTAGACTCGATAAGTTATTATCGACTTTGATCTTGGTTTCTGTATTGAATAGAAATCTTGTATAGAAAGATTTATGTCTTTCTTTATTGAATAAGAAACAAGCGCATTTATCATTGAAGGTCATAAGATTAGCAAAGCGCCAAAGTTACTCAATTTCAATTCATAGTCAATTCCGTAAAATAAATAATGAAAATTGGATCTTATCATAAATTCCTATCTAATAGCAGTAATAGAAATAACTGAAAGAATCAAGAAATGCATCTGTCCGAGCAAATCAAGAGATGACATGTAGTTTTGTGATAACTCATCAACGTCCTCAATTAACTATTGACAGCTCATCTAACTATTCTAGATTGTTATGTTATTACTCTATAAATATCATTCTTGTATCCTGAGAATATCATCTTGAATAATGAAGGCTTAAGCTCTAAATGGTATCAGAGCTAGCTATCCATGGCGCAATCCTCTTTTTTTTTTTCTCAAATTGGCGAACCAACTGAAGCAACAGCAGAAAAAGGATGTACAATACCTGCTTCACTTAAATTTATGATTTCCAACATTCGGACAATCGTTCCCACACAATTGACAAATGAGAACTACTCCATTTGGAAATAACATATTCTCAAACTGCTCAAAGCCAATGGTTTCTTGACGTTTCTTCTTTCGACTGCTAGCCCGCCGGAGAAATTCATTTAGACGAACAAAGGCATCACCGTTTTGAATCCACAGTGCTTCAAATTGATCCTAATTGATCAAAATCTTGCAGCAGCAATTTGCTCTATAATCTCATCATCGATAATGTCGTATGTCATTAATATGGATTCTTGCTCATCCATCTAGAGCACAGTAGAACGATGACTGCAAGCAACAAACAGATCGAAAATATTTCAGCTCAAGAATGAGCTACACAATCTCGCAATAAAAAATAAAACAATGACTCAGTATCTTACCAAAGTTAAGACTATCGTTGATCAAATCACTGCAGCGGGATCTACTATAAACAATGAAGATATCATTATCTACACGCTCAATGGCCTTACATCTACATATCAAGCATTCAAAACGTCAATTCAAACCAAGGTTCATCCTATAAGCCTCGATGATCTGTATTTTCTTCTTCTCAACGAAGAGATTAACATCCAAACTGAATCACGGAAGCATCTTTCAATTGTAGATTTGGAAACTGCCTTATACTCGTCGCGAGGAAGAGAATACAAAGGAAGGGGCGGATCTGCACAAACCAGTTCAAGAACTCCCTCTAACAATCTTCCTACATGTCAAATTTGAAACAAGAGAGGTCACTCTGCTTCAGCGTGTTGGCATCGCTTGAATTTGGATTACAACCCTCAACCACCTTCCACTCAACAGCAATCAAATTAGAAAGCCATGATGGCCACAAATGACCAGATCAATCCAGATTGGTATCTAGATTATGGAGCATCATCGCACTTAACGAATTCCCTGGAAAATCTAAATCAACCAAAGTCATACACTGGCTCAGACAACATAATAATTGGAGATGGCAGAACCATTCCAATTGCTCATTCTGGATCTAGTATTTTACCCACACCCAACAGTAAGCTTCAAATATCTCAAATTTTTCACATTCCTCAAATTTCACACAACTTACTATCCATATCTTCCCTTACAAAAGACAATAACATCTCAATCTCATTTGATGCAAATGGTTTCATCATCAAGGCCTTGAAGACACATCAACTCCTTCTCAAGTGACTAAGATCTAACGGTTTATATCCTCTATCAAACATCAATAACGCAGCATTTACTGCAACTCGTCAATTGTCATCTATCTGGAACAAACGGCTTGGACATCCTCATCATCAAGTCCTCGAGAAAATCTCCAACAGTCACAAGCAACTTCACATTTCCACCTCACAAACTCTGTGTCCTGACTGCATTTTGTCCAAAAGTCATAAACTAGTTATTTCTAAGTCTGAAACCCACTCTTCTCAACATCTTGTTCTATTACATTCTGATGTGTGGGGACTTCATCAAACTTCATGCCCCTAAACACCAGAGTAAAATGGAGTGGCTGAGAGAAAGCATCGTCATTTGATTGAAACTACCAGAACTCTTCTACATTCAGCCTCCCTTCCCCTTACTTTATGGCCTGAAGCTACTCTTACAGCCTCATTCCTGATCAACCGACTGCCATCCAAATCCACAAACAATATATCCCCACTCCAATGTCTATATCACACTCTACCTGATTACTCTATTTTAAAAACATTTGGATGCCTACATTTTTCGTGGCAACCACCAAATAAGCGACACAAACTTGAGCCTAAGTCCATATCTTGTGTCTTCATTGGCTACTCATCTGTATCAAAGGGTTACAAATGTTATGATCCTATTACTCAAAAAATATATGTATCACGGCATGTAACCTTTGATGAAAATGTATTCCCATTTAAATCATCTCAAACAGACCAACCTACAACTTCATCAACATTCAGATCTCCACCCGGTATACTAGTACCTACTCCTCAAACCACTACTGAAAGCTATTCCATTCAACCATCAAATAAAAATCTTGTTTCTTGTAGTCCTCCATCTCACACCAGAAATACATCTCCATCACCACCCAACAACCCAGTTGATGAATATCAATCCAATCATCCAAGCATTTCTAAGGAAGTTCATCCGATGATCACCAGACTCAAAACTAGATCACTTAAGCCAAGACAAATACTCAATCTACTACATGCCAATACATGTGAAGACAGTTCAACCAAACCAGATCCAACTTGCTACACAAAAGTAGTTAAATCTGCTCACTGGCGCAAGGCTATGGCTGAGGAGTTTTTAGCATTACAGAAGCAAGGTATATGGTAGCTAGTACCACATCCAGAAAATACACCAGTACTTAGGTGTAAATGGACATATGAAACAAAATGGCACTCAAATGGCTCAATTGCAAGATTCAAAGCATGGCTTGTAGCATAAGGCAATCACCAAGAATATGGGGTCAATTATCTAGATACATTTAGTCCGGTGGCCAAATTTCTCATAATCCGAGCTTTGATCACAATAGCTCTATCTCAAAAACAATCAATACATCAATTAGATGTTGCGAATGCATTATTACATGATGATCTTGAAGAATAAATCTACATGAAGCAACCAAAAGGATTTGAAGATACCATACATCCCAACCATGTGTGTTGTTTACATAAAGCATTATATGGTCTCAAACAAGCATCGAGACAATGGTTCAAAATGTTCAATGCTCATCTCAAGTCCCTTGGATTTCAAAATGGTAAAGTTGACTCCTCTCTATTCGTATTTCAATATAATCAAGTGGAATTATGAATGGTAATCTACATGGATGATATTCTATTAACTGGCAACAACTCTACCATGATTTCTCAAACAATTTATCAAGTGAATCAGAAATTTGCAATGAAAGATATGGGAACAATCACAAACTTTCTCGGCATCCAGATTACTCGGACCACCGATTCATACTTCATGTCTCAATCAGCTTATGCGAAGTCTATACTTCAAACAGCAGGTCTGGTTCAGTGTAAACCGCTTGCAACTCCTACTTATACCAAACAAGTAGCATATAAGAAACCAGATCCGGTGCTAGTTGATGCTCACATATACCGACAAATTTCAAGAGCTCTACAATATCTAATTATTACTATACCTGACATAGCTTATGTGGTTAATGTACTATGTCATCACATGCATAATCCAACATATGAACACACACATATGCTCAAGAAACTCTTAAGATAGATCAAAGGCACCTGTAATTATGGAATTCCCATTTTAGATGCTTGAGCTCTATTCATACTCTGATGCGGATTGGGCAGGTGACAAACAAACTAGAAGATCTACAACCGGATATTGCACATTCCTATGAAATACAATCCTGTCATGGAGTGTAAAGAAGCAACATACTGTTGCTCGTTCCTCCACGGAAGCATAATACAGAGCATTGGCGGCGGCAACTACAGATATCATGTGGCTAAGAAAACTACTTCAGGATTTCAATATAAACCTGATCAAACCAACATAATTATGATGTGATAATATATCAGCTATTGCGTTGGCGAATAACCCTGTGTTTCACTCAAGAACAAATCACATTGAAATTGATCAACACATTATTAGAGATCACATATAATTTCAGAATATCTGTATAATTATGGTTACAACTCAAGATCCACAAGCGGATATACTTACCAAACCTTTGTCCACAACTCGTTTTCAGGAGCCATGGCGCAAGCTGACTATCCAACCTGACTCGTCAGCTTGAGGGGGACTAACAGCAATAACAGAAATAACTGAAAGAATCAATAAGTGCATCAGTCCGAGCCAATCAAGAGATGACACGTAGTCTGGTAACAGCTCATTAACGTGTTCAACTAACTATTGACAGCTCTTCTAACTGTTCTAGATTGCTCTGTTATTACTCTATAAATACCATTCTTATATCCAGATAATATCATCTTGAATAATTAAGGCTTAAGCTCTACACTATCTTTTCTCTTTAGCTCTATTTTCCTTTGGCTAGATTCCAATTTTTCCATTCAATTTACCGTTACAAAGACATGGACAAGGACTTACAGGCAGATCGAAGGGGAGTACTTTGACTTAGTGTTAAGTGTGTTCTAATAAGTTAAGTCATAATTTCATTTTTCTTAATTTGGCCTTAATTACACCTCATCCTAGCCCTTCGATTTCCCATCAATTATTGCATGCCCAAGAAAGTGAAGAAGCGGGATTTGCTATATTGCATTAATTGTGAATAATAATATAAAATTTAAATATAGATAATCTGATTAAAATGAAATTTAATCTAAATAATTGTAAATAATTATAATATATATATATACACACACACACACACACACACTAAAATGAACATTAGAGTTTCATTAAAAAAAAATATTTATAAATTCTAAGATGCACAAAAAAAGAGGTATAAAAATTTAGGATTTACCTTTTCAAAAATTCTTGATTATTACAACATCAGAAACAATCCACTGCCTTTTTAATGTAAATCTATGTTTTACATGAGTGAACAAACCCAAATTGGCAATAAAAGTGGTGTAATAAGAAGAAATGGGTAGAAGAACCTTATAAAAGGAGGATGGAAAGAGATCCAATCAAATAACATTGCAAAAAGTTCTATCAATTCTTGTTTTGATAGGTTTAGAGATCTGATCTTTGCAACAGTGTGGAGCTAAACGAGCCTCAAGTCATAGATATCATAATAAAAATATTTCATATTTATAACACAAGGAGTATTTCACATAATTTTATCATGAAGAGAATAAATACAATTGAAATCTCCTATAACCAACCAATTACCATTAACATAACCAGATAGATCAACAATAGATTGCCAAGGAGATTTCTTGCCTAAAATTTCATTTACAACATAGACAAAATTCACCATAAAATTAATTGTGCTAGAGAACAAAATCTCTATATGATTCAGTTGAGAGGCAGTCAAAAGAGAAGTGACCAAGATATGAGATTTATTTCATTTTATGCAAATTCTTCTCCGATAAGCAACAGAAATTATCATAACCTTTTTCATTAGGAAATAGCAGCATTCTTCTCTTAATGAAGAAACTCAATATTCAACTGAATCTCCAACTGACAAATAAGGTCTAAATTTGAATCATGGAGCCCTCTTAAGTTTCAAGATGCATGATAAGGACATAAAGCGGTGGAGTTGGAGCTTTTCTGATCAGCCCTTTTACCTTTTGAAGCAAAGAAGACATTCTTAGATGTTTTCCTATTTGTCTAGCAGCATCATGCGTTTGGTTATGTAATCCAAAAACAACCTCCTTAGGAATAATAAAAGGGCTAGGCAGAACTAGTAATGTTAAATCGATGGTGAGGTTTGTTTGGTTTCTAGGAAAATGTATTAGTGAAACATCTGAAATCGTGTAAGACAATGGGCAGCATTTATATGTGAAGTAGAGGCATTTCCTGTAAGAGAAACAGTAATAGACTGGAACTCAAAAGAGGTGGGTTTAATAAGCTCATTTACCATGGCAGAACACCACTCAATAAAATCAGGCTTGCAGCAATAGATGAAGTGTGGGTCTGATTAACAAGACCAGAACTGAGTGAGGGCATCCTACCACTTTTATCACCTGCGTCCCTCCTCCGACTTCTATCATGTGCCAAAGTATTGTGAGGATAGGGTTTGTTTGAGGATAGGACTTCGCATTATAAAGAAATATATAACATGATTTGCATACAGAAGGCCTCCAATCATATACAATCTATCGACAGATTTTCCTTTCATTAAGGTTGATGAGAAAGGATTCCGGTATGAAATAGGAGGGAGAAATCAACAGACACTAGAAAAAGTCAGATGGGATTTTGATTCAATCAAGATATCAGCAGTAACAGGAATCCAAACTTTGCAAGTCACCTTGGATAAGTCTTCCTTATTCCAATAGCAATACAGGGGAGTTTGGGAGTTTAATCCATATAGGAATCTCAACAAATTCCACATAATAAAGATGAAGGATTTTACCTTAAAAAAATTGGGGATTGTTGTTCCATAGTAACTCATTGTCCTCCTAACAATTAAATTTAAATGAGAAAAAAACACCAACAAGTGTGTGTAGATCGATATTACCTTTAAAAGTTCCATTGCTTTTCACTATAGTGAGGAGAGATTCATAGTAAGGTTGCTATCTGCAGCATGCCCGATGAGAGGTAGCTTCCACTCTTTTCCTCTTTCGAATAGATCTTTTGTAGAGAATAGTAATTTCTGTTCATCACTTTACATGAAGGCTAGGGAAATTTTTGAACTCCTTGCACCGTGGGCACATAATAGATCATTCCAATTAGGGCTTCCTTTCTAAGATGGAGGACAGGGGCCATTATGAAGCGGCAACATTCTCACTTCCTGAAGGTTTGCGTTAGGGGATAGAACCTCAAGAATTGAACAAAAGGTGGAGGGAATAGAAGGAAAAACGTTAAGATTTGTGAAGAGGAGAGATCAGATTTATAGATCTCCCTAACTAAGAGGGCTTTATGGATGTTGGGGTGAAGTGGATGGGATTTCAAAGGAAGAGGTGGGGAGAGAGTGCATGCAACCCTCTGGCAAAGGCCGAATGCTGGTCTTTAATACACTAAGAAGAGTTTAGGAGGGAGCACCACCACTAGAAGGGGAAGGTGAGAAGCCATTACCTTATCAGAATATCACCTGCAAAAGCAGAGTAGGGAAAAACCACATTTCAAAATGTGAAGCAGGAATCAAAGTTTAACTTTCTAAAAATGAGAGCAGTTTTGTCCAACGACAAAATTGTCACGACCCGTCCCGGTGAGCTCGCATAGGCGAGCCTGGAACGGAGGTCGGACGGTAGTCTAAAATATCTAATCTCTAAAACTATCACCATAACATTTGAAAGAGCAACTAAAATAATATAATTAAACATAACCTCAAACAAATTCATATAATTACCTTTCTTCCGGCGCTCCTCTTCTACGGTAAACATGTCCACCCCTTCTACTCATTTTGATTTAAAGTAGTTACACATGAAAAATGTTTGAACAACTAACAGTAAGCCAACGCTTAATAAGTAAAGCACAATTCTAAACTACAATAATCAAGGCAAAATAAACAATATGCTAAATGTCATATTTCATTTAAAACATAACATAAATTGATTTCTTACAAACATGTCATTAAACATATCATATATCATAAAACTATATATTTCATTTTCATTTCCATATTCATATCAATATTCATGATTTTTTCATTTCGTATATATTACAATTGTTACAGGAGCCACCGTCTACTACCATAAAGGTACTCCTTTACCATTTCCTTTTTCATATCCTTTATCATTTTAACATGCACGAGTACAGCGTTCCCCGCTGGTACCATAAGGGGGTGAGCTCAATCAATTCAGCATGCACATACAAGCAATCAATAACAATCATATCATCTCATTTCATCTCATTTCTATAACATATAAACTTTGTATAATAAAGCCATAAGATGTAACATATAAATTGCAAGATCAACCATTAAACAAGAGTCAAGATTTTATAAATATGTTTGGTCTTTCAAAACATATAACTTGAGAGAAAACAAATGTATCACGGTAATAAAGAATCATTAATACTTACCTCGATTTAAAGGATTTGATTACCCCGCTCGAACACATTTCTTCGAGGTCACGATTATCACCTATAAACATTAATTTCTTCTTCAAATTCTTCATAATAAATTTACATTTAAGTTCTCCTTCTCTTACTAAACTGCCCTAAGTTTTTTCTCTTTCTCTCTCTCTCTCATTTAAAACATAAAGCATATAACAATTCTAAAATCTCATATTTTATTCTAATTATATATTTTAACCAAATTAACCCTTTACCCTAATCCTAATTTAATTTAAATTAATTTTTATTTTTGGATTTATTTTAATTAAAAATTAGAGAAATAATATTTCATGAAAACTCCTAATTTCTACTCTTAAAAACTTCCTTAAGACCCATAGAAATATTATACATTAAGAAATTTTCATATAAATCAAAAATCTGCAAAACCCTAAGTTTCTAAATCTCAAAAGTTTTGAAGAAAAACCTCATCTCCTTGCATAAAATTATCTCATAACTATATCCTATCATTCCCTTAAAGAAAATCAAAGTTTCCCCCAAACCCTATATTTTTCTCCTTAAAAACAATTCTATAAAAACATGAGAAATCACTTAAATACAACTCGCCTTAACCTTCCCTTAGTCTTCCCTACAAATTCCTCCACGAACGGCCGCCGGAAATCCGCCCCTAGTTTCGTCGTCCGTCCCTTGCCCGACGCCTTCTCTCCGCCTCTTCGTGCGTTCGGGCGGAAGAAACCGAGCTAATGAAATGGGGAAGGGAGGGATGCCAAAATGACCTATTTGCCCTCACTTAAACTATCTCGGCTTTAATACTTAATAGGGTATAATATGTATTATGAGACTTCGATTAATTTTAATTTTTAAAATAAACAAAATTAGATATAGATTTTATATATCAAATCGATCAGAATTTCGCACATAATTTTATAAAATTATTTTCGTTAATTTCCGACAACATTGAAAATTTCACTTAAATCTCGTCGCGATGGATCGAGATGCGTGCGAAGTCTAAATCAGTACTTTTCGGGTTTTACAAAAATAGCCCACAAAGCAATATTCATTAGCTCCGATTTCATAAACTCAAACGGGAATATTGTTAACTCTCTTATTTATGAGAAATTATCATGTGCGGAGTCCGGATCGAGATAATCATCCGATATACTATACTCAGTAATTTTTTTTATCAGTATTTGTGTAGTATTTACTGAGTATACTCAATAAATCAGACGGTTATCCCGTCATGACTCCACATGTAATAATTTCTCCTTGTTTATCTCAAAAAAATCTTTGAGCTTAAAAAAGAGTGATAACCTTATGCTAAAGTTTGTATTACCATCTTACATATGAAAAAAAAAAAGAAAGATAATTAAGAGTCTCATCAACAAAGTTAAATAGAATACATAATTCATTCTTCATTCACCTTTTGAATGAATTTTATATAGGAGATCAAGAAAAATCTGATCAAATTAAACATATTCCATCTCTTGAAAAATAAACTCACGAGCTCAAAGGAGAGATTGGTATTATTCTTGAACAGTCATATTACTTTATAATGAAGTGAGTTTGAACTCCAATAAGAAAATTATTGTTTATTATCCCACTTTCTTCCAAGTAGAATCCCCTAAATTATACTTAAACTATGCTAAGAATTATATCAATCACATATCTTTTAATTAATCAATACAACATTAAATGCCTAACATGAAATGCGCATAATTAGGCAAAAACAATAATTTAGAGTTCACCTCAAACTAATCATGCCCTTTAAAAATCATGGTCATGACTCTCTCTAGGGGTTACACATATTGTATAGAAATGTAAAAATGAGCTCCATTTGAAAGTTTTTTATGGGGTTATTTCTAGGCACAGTCAAGGTTTCATCTAGTATTGGCTCGTGAGGGCTCAAGACTAATTTTAATTATGGTATCAAGATGGTGTTGCAGTCCTTCCTTAGAGGTTGAGCACGAATATAGATGATGTTCAGGTCTATGTTGTGGTTGTTAATCGATAGGAGTGAAAAAACTCCTGACAAACAACACAAAATTACTAATTGCCAAAACTCGGATAATTAGAGAGATAATTTGATTCCCTTAGCTACAAAAAATAATTCACACAATCAAAAGGTAAATAAAGTGTGCAATGTACACAGAACTGTTTATGTGAACATTTTAGAAAGAGAAAACCATAGTGCTTAACCCAACTGAAATAGGTTACACTAATAATACATATGATCTACAAAGGATAATCCTTCCTTGATCTTAGAGAAAGAATCATTATAAAGCAAATTAAGTTAGGACATGCTAGCATTGTTTATACAATAAAGTCAAGTACCGAGACAATCCTCCTCCACGAGCCTAAGTCAACACGAGTTGAAGGTGACATATAAAGCAAAGCTGAATGGTCGAGAAAGGCTTCTAAAGATAGTCATGATAATCCACCTCCTTCAGAGAAAGATAACATGATCTTAGGACATCAAATGAGGTGACGATGAAAGATTAGAGAGGTCACTAAGGATGGAAGGTAGGTCCTATCACTAGAGGTGAAGACAGCACGCACAAAGATGCCAAACAAGAAAGTGCAAGGAGTGATTAAAGGTAGCAAGGACAATCCTCCTCTAGAGGTAGATATAACATAATCTAAAGCTATATGCAAGGTAACGGAAAAATGTTGTGGAAGCCATTAAGAATGGTCGAATTGATCATCTCTATAGACGTAAAAACAACGAGGGGCATCTGGAAGTATTGATGTGGGATTGAATAACCCAAAATCAGTAGGTGAGTGAGGGAAAGGATAGTCCTTTCATCTAAAATAAAGTTGGCAAGCGCTTGAGGGCAATCGAGACAATGTCTCACTTGAAAGGAGGAGAAATTGAATGACCCAACGCCAACAAACTATTGAGGATGATAGAGACAGTTCCTCTCCTAAAAAAAGTGAGAATTAAATGACCTAAAGTTGTTAAGCGACTAAGGCAGCTAAACTAATCATTTTCCAAAAAGAGAGAGGGGGTGTATGACTTGGATTTGACGATAAAAAAGGGAAAGAATAGTCCCTCTCCAGAAAAGAGGGGGAACCATATGAAAAGCACTATGACTAAGTTGAGAAAAATATGCCCTTTCTCTGAAGGAAACTACAGGATTTGATAATTATGCAAAAGAAAATTCCAAGAACATCATAAATAACCAGCTGGAATTTCAGGTGGTGTCCAAAGATCTGAATATTTCTATGAAATAGACCTTAAGAATATACCAAATAAGCAGAATGAATGTATTTATGGATTTATAGGTCATTTGACCATTATCTAAATTATGCCAAAATACATAATTTTTATCAATAATGGATAGACCACATCGCACCCTCTCCAAATCAAAAAATAATTGGATGATCCCACCCCTAGGCTGATCTGATCGATACATACATGGCAGGGTGGTCATGTTGGGTAATTGGACGACTGGTTAAAGGCCAACGGCAACTACAACTAGTAATTCTAGTTATATCTTTGATTAAAAAATAAAATATACCACAATGTAAATCTCTACACCAACAATCAAAAGGTCGACAAATCAAAATTCCTATGATTGGATTGAAAGGAGCAATGTAAAGAAGGTTCGTACATGAAAATTTAAGGCATCAAAAACTGGTGATGATTGCCATTCTTGCATCAAAATATTTGTCACATTGGAAGAAACAACTTGTCGCAAATGACACATGAAATGGAGGTATATAAAAGTCACAATAACCATGGGAACATAGAACCTTGTTGGATGAGCTATACAAAAATAATTATACATAGTTGATAGGAATACTTGGAAAAAGAAAGTAGGGAAGACTACCTTTTGGCCACTTGGTAGACGGATTGCCTTTTGGCAGCCAACGGGGTGATCCCCATCTCCATTGATATTTTGTAAGGTGTTTGGCATATTCTCCTTGAATTCATGCATAAAAAGGAAAAATGACGGTGGTTCGGTCCGTGATCTGAGCTAGTCCACATTTATATGATTTTGTTGCCATTAGAATCGTTACAACGAGGAGAATGTTTTGACTATAAATTTGCATGAATAGGATTCAATTGAATGCTAATAATTTTTTAAAATCATTATTTTAAGGTGAGACCTACAATGCTTCATGGCACAGAATGTTGGCCATTAAAAGAAAAGCAAAATGATAAGTTACTTACTTAGTTTAGCATTTAAGGATAGACCTTTCATTTAAGGATAAACCTTTCATACTCCTATTCAAGTAAAAGGGGGCGAAATAGATTATCCCAAACTTATGGGGAGCAAAGCTTCTATAATATGCATACTTACAATAGCATTTAAGGATAAATCTTTCATATTATACATTGCTACAAAGGGCTTTTCTTAAATTTTGAGGGAGGAAAGAACCACCCCCAACCCCTCCTTGGTTCCACCATTGATCTTGCCACTTGAAGGAACTGACAGTGGAAGGAGAATAACATAAAGAAAGAAAGGACGGTAAATTCCTAGCATATTACCTTCTCCAAGAAAGTTGTTGCAGTACCGCCTTTTGTTATTGCTCCATCATTTTGCTAATCTCAGTAGCAAGAATGAATCACTCTTTCTTCGGCCTAAGAATTATTATCCTCATTTTGATTTACCAAATCACTCTTCCTCCAACATTGTTGTGGAGATGGCAAACCAGGGAGCTCATAATGATGAACAAACCAGACCAGAAAACACATAACTGCAATAAAGCATATTCACTCCAAACATGTTGCCATCTAACCAAGGTCGGCTCTATATTCTTTATTTTTGCTTAAATGAAGACAATGTAGATGTATTAGATCCGGCTTATGTTAAAAAAAGTAGAGGTCAACCTAAAAAAACTGGTTAGAAAGTTTTTGAAATTACCTTTTTTAATTAGATTTGAACGAGAATTTGACTCTTAATAGAATACAATGGAGAAAAAATATTCATGTAACCGACCCTAAGTAGTGAGATAAAAACTTGATATTTGTTGTTGTTGTTGTTGAATGAAGGCAATCTAATTAAAATTTACAATCCTGACTCTAATCTGCATAAAATCCCCCTAAATCCATCTCTGTAAAAATTTATTAATCACTTAATTGTTGATGCCAACATGAGTTACACAGAATTTAATAAAGATATTAATGTTGGATTTAACCATATAATTGATTCCAGATATTAAAGAGAGAAGATGAAACAATCAAATGCCAAAATCCTCCAATGAAATTTCTGATGGATGTTTCTCTAATTGGGATTTGCAACAATAAAAATTTGACAGCAAAGGAAAAAAGAAAAAAGGAGATGAGAGAAAAGAAAATGATGGCCTCACCAGCATCCAGAGGAAGGCCAACTAAAAGAATCTGATACTTTGTGCATTCAAAATCGCTTCTTATATGCTTAAACTCCTTCAATCAAAAATTTTGTGAAGTTCCAAATCTTGAGTCTTAAAATAAAGAGGGAGGAAGAGACATATGCCCGAACTAACAGAAGTATCTTTGCTAGATCTGCCATGTATCTAACTGGTCAATCAATTTATGACATTCTTCATAGAATTAAGCTCATACAAAGGAAGAGAACGAAGTAGGCGACAGCCACAGTGGCTAACCATTGCGCACATTGCTTCTGCCGTTAGAAGCGCTTATTGTTTCTCCAAATTTCGAGATTCTGCCCCGACTATGGAGGCTTATTATTCAGTTTTAAAACCCCGACGTCTTTCTTTCTGCCCGTTTTAGGGTTTAGGGTTCGGTGTGCGTGTTCTAGTTAAAGGCTACCAGCTGGATGCTTTTCATCGGAGAGCTATTGTTGGTGTTCTGCTTCTTTTGTCTGTACTCTATTGCGTTGCGGCTGACAAGTTTGGCATTAGAGTTATCATTCTACAAGATTCAAGAGTAATACATGCGTTAAAGATGAAACCTGGCAGCTGGAGCGAGATGATTCTGCGAAATGCTCCTTCCCCTTCCTGCTTTCAAACTTCAGTGGGTGGAGAAAGCCCTGCAGAATCCTTTAATCATGATGGCTGGAAACCTGAGTTAGAAAGCCGTTGCACTATTTAATCCCCTCTTTCGGGATTTACATACATACCACTTTATTATTTAATTATATTATATATGTAATATCTAAAATATTAATATTATATGCCTATTAATTTTATATAACTTTAATATCAAATATATCACTCTTATATTTAATTCCTACCACTCATACAATCCTGTAAATTTTAATATTTCATTTCATGCATCATATTTGTTATATGAGTGGTAGCCATGTAATATTAATATTTTGAGTGTTAGAAATATAAATAGCATGAAATAAAGTGGTATGTATGTAAATTCCTCCTTTTTTTTTCTTTAGGATCATTTAGGCCAATTAAGACAAACTCATGCAAACATCATATATGCAAGACTCGAACCCAATACCTCTTGATTGGTAGCAAAGATCCTAACTAACAGACCAAGGTATTTTGCGTTGTTACATTACTGATTTTTTTGACATAAAGGACTGTCTTGCTCCAATAACCCAAGAAAACACGCTCTAAATTCAAACTACTCAACTAGCTCGGTTACAATGCCACGGAGCAATCACATAATTTACAATCTACATTTATACATATATTTATTTAAATTAAAAAAGATGTTTAAATTCATATTAAAATATATGTATAACAATTTATTTTATTTTACTCTATTAGGTTCTTTAATTTGTTAAACTACAATCAGAGCGAGTTCGATGCACCTTCGAAAAAAAGGTTTGAAAAAAGCTCAAGTAATATTTGAGCTAGCTTCCAAGTAGGTTCAAATGTAATTTAAATAATATTTTAACCTTGTTCATACAGGATATTACAACATGTATTATAGCATTTTGGATCAATTGGATGTTAACATAAGTAATATCAAATTAACAAATATTATAATATTGGGTAGAATTAATCAATGACATTATTTCAATAATTATATTAAATGGAAATACTTTAAATCATACTAATGAAAGATTCTAAACATGAAAAACTAAAAGGTTATTTTGTCTTAGTGAATCATGATATTTAATAGTTTCCTCATCTTAAATAAATATTAAAAAAAATGGTACAAAATAGGTTTAATGGAGTAAAATCCTTCTCTTTTCTGTATTAATGATTTTGCTGAGAAGGCTGAGACGGAAGTCCCTATATATATATATATATAATTCTTCATGCTTCCTTTAATGAGATTTTTTAGCCTTGTTATTTATTCTTTCTCTTATAAGATGAGGTCGCATGCAGGAATTCAAATAGCTGAAGCTCAAACAAGATCATATCGTTTAGAGTCCCTTCAAAAGATCATGATCGTATCAATGTATGTTGTGAAAGAAACGGAGCAAGAAGAGGAGCGGAGAGGGAAACAGAGAGTAGGCAGAAAGAAGATAAAAGGGAAATTTTATTATAATGAAAATTGGTTACAGAAATAGAGTAAGAGCTAAGTATTTATAGGTTTTCCTAATGGCAACAAAGGTAAATAACAGTTCTCATAACGTACTCGTTTACAGCCTCCCTCAAATTAAGCATTCATGGGTTGAATGGTTAATTTGCGGCGAAGCTCATGGAATCGAGTAGGGGAGAAGTGTTTAGTAAGAATGTATGCTGCTTGATCGGCGGACGGAATCTATTTGATAGTGATAACCCCTGAGTTTATGTGTTGACGCACAAATTGGTAATCGATCTCTATGTGTTTGGTTCGTGTATGAAAGACGGGGTTCTTGGCTAGGGCAATGGCCGAGGTGTTCTCACAATGGATGGTGGTTGGCTCGGCTTGAGGGAGGTCCAGCTCTGCGACAAGGCGGCGGAGCCAAATGACATCGGATGTTGCAGCAAAAAGCGATCGATATTTAGCCTCGGTTGAAGATTTGGCTACCGTAACTTGTTTCTTGACTGACCAAGAGATCAAGTTTGGCCCCAAGAAGCTGCAATAACCGGAAACGGACTTCCCGTCGGACGCATCTGACGCCCAGTACGTGTCTGTGTAAGTCCGAAGAGTCAGTTCGCCAGTGGTGATGGGTAGTCCAAAGCTTACGGTGCCTTTCATGTATCGCAGCAACCGCTTGAGGGATTGAAAGTCTTCAATCGTGGGTTGATGCATATGTTGGAAGACTTGATTGGTGGCGAATGCAATATCCGGATGAGTGATGGAGAGGTATTGTAGAGACCCGGCTAGACGGCGGTAGAGTGTCGGATCATCGAACAGCTAACTGGTAGCCTCCGAGTTTTTGATCTTTGGAGAGGTAGGTGTGCTTGTTGGTTTGCTGTCCGCTAGGCCCGAATCGTCGAGTAGTTTTTGCGCATAGTGTTGTTGTGTAAGGAAGAGTCCGGAGGGTCGCCGGATAACCTGAATTCCGAGGAATAAGGAGATTTGACCGAGCTGCCGGAGATCAAACTGCGTTTTGAGCTTGGTTAGGAGATTTTGAACTGCGGCTTGATTGTTTCCTGTCACGATAATGTCGTCCACATAGATTAATAGAAATATTTAAATATCGTTGTGTTGTAAGAGAAGAAGGGAGGGGTCGAAATGACTGAACCTGAACCCTTGAGTCTGAAGGTAGCCTGCTAGTTTTTCAAACCATTTGCGGGGCGCCTGTTTGAGACCATACAGGGATTTGTTAAGTTTGCAGACGAAGGAAGGATGCGCATTGTCCTCGAAACCTTGCGGTTGTCGCATGTATAGATCTTCGACTAGATCGCCGTGCAGAAAAACGTTGGAAACGTCTAATTGGAGAATTGGCCAGTTTCGATTGAGTGCTATGGTGAGAAGAATTCGTATGGTTGGCATCTTTGCAACCGGGCTAAAAGTTTCATTGTAGTGAATTCCATAATGTTGGTCGTATCCTTGTGCAACCAGACGCGCCTTGTATCGATCGACTTGCCCGTTAGGTAACAGTTTGGTTTTGTAGGTCCACTTCAATCCTAGAATTGATTTCTGCGGGGGAGCGAGGACAAGGGTCCAAGTCCCTTGACGAATGAGAGCTTGAAATTTGACTTTCATAGTTGTTCGCCAATGTGGTTGTTTTGCGGCTTGGGCGTAAGTGTGAGGAGTGGATGCGGGAGAAGCCGTGCTGATCAGAGATAGGATCTTTTTGGGTTTAATGATACCTGACTTGAGTCTCGTCTGCATAGGATGCGCGGGTGGAGCAGAATTTCGATTGAGGCGGGCAGGTTGAGGCTCGTTGAATGGCGGAGGAATTGGCTCATGGATAGATGGATCGACTGGGAAAGTGGGAGTGATCCCTGCTGTTTGAGTGAGATTGGGACTGTGTGTGTGACAGACTAAGTTTGGCACAAGTAGTAAAGGCGGGATGGGAGGTGGCTGTTGTAATGGTGATGGTTTGATGGTTTGCTGTTTCAAGGGGAATTGAAGTTCATTAAAATGAACGTGACGAGAGACAAAGATTCTACCCGTTTGTACTTCCAGGCACTTGTACCCTTTTTGAACGGGAGAGCACCCGATGAAGACGCATTTCCGGGACCTTGAAGAGAGTTTGTTGTCTGCGTATGGTCGGAGCCAAGGGAAACACTGGCATCCAAAAATGCAGAGATGATCATACGTAGGGTCCCGACCGTGTAGACGATAGAACGTTGTCTGTTTGTTGATTGCGGACAACGGAAGCCGATTTATTAGATAATTGGCCGTGGCAGCTGCTTCGACCCAGAGTTTTGCGGGTGAATTTGACTCGTGGAGCAGAGCCCTGGTGAGGTCTAGAACGTGCTTGTGTTTCCTTTCCGCCAGCCCATTTTGTTCAGGGGTGTGCGGACAGGATAGTTGTCGTTGAATTCCATTATTGTTCAAGAAGTTGGTGAATTCTGCACTAGTAAACTCGCCTCCTCCGTCTGATCGGAGGGCTTTCAGAGTCATGTTATGCTGTGTCTTAACAAGATGACAAAACAATTTAAATTTAGAGACTGTTTCATTTTTAGTTCGCATTAAGTACATCCACGAAAATCTAGTGAAATCATCGATGAACACGACATAGTATCGAAACCCGTCTATGGAGGGAAGAGGAGCGGGCCCCCAGAAGTCAGAGTGCACAAGATCAAATGGATAATTAGAAATAGAAACAGTTTTATTAAAGCTCAGTTTGTGAATTTTCACAACATTACAAGAATTACAAGAAATGGAGGCAGAGACTTTATTGAGCTGGGGTAAATTTCTAAGACGAATTTTGAGCAGGCGGTGATGAGGATGACCGAGGCGATTATGCCAGAGATACTCCTGTTTGAGGTTCGCGTGTAGTGCGATGATGCTTGCTCAGGATCGGCTGTTGAGATGGTACAGCCCGTCATGTAGATGCCCATGAAGAAGAGGACGGTGGTCCTGACGATCCTTAATTTCACAGCCATTAGCGTCAAAACTTATAGAGATGGGATTGTTAGTAGTAAGTTGAGAAACAGTAGAAGATTATGTGATAATGTGGGAACATGAAGCAGTTTGCGTAAGATTAGCTTACGAGGAGTATCGGGTAGGGGAAGAAGGCCCTGACCGGAGTGAGTGACCGGGAGTTGAGACCCGTTGGCGATGGAGACGCTTTCCGATCCTTGGTAAACTGACGGATGGCGAAGGGCGTTTATGTCCGGTGTGAGGTGATTTGACGCGCCGGAGTCGATGATCCAATCTTGATTTGCCGAGAAGTTCTGTTGAGCAAGAAAGGCAGGAATTGGTCTTTGGGAGGTAGGGGCGAAATTTGGGTTGTTCCTATGCCAACAATTTAAGGCAATATGCCCAATCTTGTTGCATATTTGACAGGTCGGTCGCGAGCTAGAGTTGGTGGTCGAAGGGGTAGTTGGACCCAATTTAACGGGTTGCGTTGAACCTGTGTTGTAATTCTCGTTCTTGTTGAATCTACGTAGGGAGCGTCCGCGAGCTTGATTTACGGAAGTCGTGAAAAGAGCGGTGGCTCATGAAGATGCAGCGGTTTCGCGCGCCGATTCTTGGTGTACGTTAATCTCCTCGCTACAAAGCAACGAATAAAGATTGTCAATATCCAGAGGAAGAGGATAGGTGCGGATGGCGGCTT